CGAGAGAGAGGCATGGACATATATACACTACCAGACGTAAGGTAGATAGCTAGTGGGAAGCAGCCGCATAGCACAGGGAGATCAGCTAGGTGCTTTGTGACCGCCTGGAGGGGTGGGATAAGGAGGGTTGGAGGGAGGGAGACGCAAGAGGGAAGAGATATGGGAACATATGTATATGTATAACTGATTCACTTTGTTATAAAGCAGAAACTAACACACCATTGTAAAGCAATTATACCCCAATAAAGATGTAAAAAAAGAAAAAAAAAGAAAGACAGTGCTGACCCCTCACCCTGATGCAGGGATTCTGCCTGTAAAATCCTATTACATACTGATTAAATAACTGTTAACTCTTGTGGGTTCTTCTTGCAGGGTTCAGACTAGGCAATGTGGTACATGCTGTACAGATGATTCAGCAGAGCAGTCATGCCACTGACCTAGTGCCCCGCATCTGCCTAACATTAGCCAGCCTGAACCGTGTGATTTATTTCATCTGTGACACCATCCTTTTTGTGAGGAGTGTAGGGCTCGCCTCTGGCATTAACAAAGAGAAATGGCGAATGTGGGCTGCACGCCATTACTACTATTCTCTTCTGCTGAGCCTGGTCAGGGATCTGTATGAAATCTCCCTGCAGATGGAACAGGTTGCACACGACAGAGCAAAGAAGGAGAAATCACCATCCCAGGATCCTCTTGTGTATAGCGTGGCTGATGAGGAAACAGAATGGCTCCAGTCCTTTCTTCTTCTCTTATTCCAATCTCTGAAGAAGCATCCTCCCTTGCTCCTGGACACAGTGAAGAACTTCTGTGATATCCTGAACCCTTTGGACCAGCTGGGGATCTATAAGTCCAATCCTGGCATCATAGGCCTTGGAGGTCTCGTGTCCTCTATAGCAGGCATCATCACTGTGGCGTATCCTCAGATGAAACTGAAGACCCGCTGAGGTGGTTTCAGACTGAAGACTAGTACCTGCTTTGAAGACAACCTGTTAGTGAAATGGACATTTGCATTAGGTACAGCCGTGTCACACTGTGCTTACAGACTTAGTCACATGAGCACTGAGTGACCTGTGATGTGAACAGAGGTGGGGCCAAGAATGGTGGAGGGAAGAACATGAAGGTTTATGTGTTTTCTAGAGCGCTGGAGTGACTTCTGAATTTCTGAGTATTTTTCCTTCATCTAATGTTTATTGAGCATCTTTTATGTGCATGTTAGGAACTTAGTGGTTGCTGAATGGATAAAAATTAAGAGAAAAATTGAAAAGCATCCAAACTAACAAGTGGACACTAATATAACTAACTTTTGGGCCATGTGCCTCACTACTTTTGCCCAACTACAGTAGGTCTGATACACACCCTCTCTCAGATTTAGTGGAGGCCCCTTATTCTCTGATCAGTTATCCCACTTCCTCCATAGCTGCCAGTGCCAGGATGGAGGAGAGCTGGGTTTATAGCGTCTTAACTTGGCTTTTACATCACTGCGCTCCTGTCTTTCCTCTGTCTAGTAGTAAAATCAGAAGTGCATCAGGCACCTTCATGGTATAAATTGTGTCTTTAGGTAGCGCAGTAAGGAAACAAAAAATCAGAAGCAGATAGAAAGGACTTGAGGTAGAAATAATGTGGAAAGTTACAGTTGGTGCCTGCAGGTTTCCCTGTGACAGATGAGGAGACTTGAGGTTAAAACTGAGGACATAACCTCATTTCTCTGACTCCCAATCCAGTGCTCTTTCCATATTTCACTGCCTTCCTGATTGAGTGGAAGTGCAAGACTCTCCAGAATCCTGTGCGAAAAGCCTTTTTTAGAACCTTTGTTGGTCAGTGGTTTATATTCTGTTCTACAAAAATTAAAACTATATCTAGAAACACCAGCAGGATGGTTTTATTTAAAACCATATAACATTTTGGGCACTTACACGTTAATTTTCATCAAAATTTGTGCAGTTAAGAAATTTCACGAATACGATGAAATTCTACTATATTCGACAATAAATCAGAGTTCGTATTTGTAGGGTGGTTGGGGGAGGTGGAGAAGAGCAGTAAGGGGCAAGAGAAGAGGACAGTAGAACGATGAGTTGATGCCACTTGCTCGTGTTCCTACTTCTCATCTTAGATGTTGGGTTCTTATTTGTGATTACAGATCCTCTTAATTTGAGGCAAGTGAGGTAGAGAAATAGGGTACCATCAGGTAAGAGGTCAGTGTCAGTCCTGCCAGTAAAGCCGTCTGACAGGACTGGATGGAAAGGAGAAAAGAAATGTGCACTAAGTAAATTTCCCATAAATGTGATTGAGATTCTTAAAAAGTAGACTCAGGTCCTTGGCTCTCTATTTTTAAAGTGACCAATCAAGATATGGGATTTGAGAAAGAACATTTCGGGAATTTTAAGAGAAAAGCTGCTAGATCAGGGCAAATAAAAAATTTAACTATTTTTACTTTGTCCAGATCTTCTACTGTAACAAATTATGTCTAATAAACTTATAGACAAAATTTATTCATGTATCTGTGAATGTGTTCTGGGAATGGAGAAGAGTTAAAAATAAGGTGATCCAAAGATAATCAGAGTCTACACAGTTGGTAGAGTGAGTTCTGGTAAAATAAGCTCTTGGCTGGAAGATCCAAGCTCAGGAAGAGGATGAAGGAAGATTTAAATGTAGAACGTCCAGGTTGAAAGAGACCTCTAAGACAATCTCATCCAGACTGCTAGCCAGGAGAGGGTCCTCTATATCATCCCTGTCAGTGGTGCTTTTGATTCTGCCTGGAGAAGTTGGCCTTGAATCTGTGATGGCATTTTACAGTGGTGTCCATCTTGGTAGTTTTGTCCTCTGCAAGTTAGGGTGGGTGGTGGAGAGCTTGGGAAATGCCACCTCTTCTAGAATTTGTGAAAACCTTAATGGTGCCCTGCTACCTCCTTCCCTGTGCATCTTTGTCCTTTATAACTAACCATCCCCACCTCCAGGCCTCCACATTCATTCATGAAGGATTCTAAAAACCAAGGACATTTCTTTATTTTTCTTCCAGTTTCACTGAGATACAATTGACACAGTACTGTGTAATTGTATTTGTAATTGACACAGTACAGCATAATGATTTTACTTAACATACATCATGAAATGATTACCACAGTAAGTTTAGTGAACATCGATTATCTCATATAGATACAAAATTAAAGAAAGAGAAAAAAAATTTTTTTTCCTTGCGATGAGAACGCTTAGGGTTTACTTTCTTAACAACTTTCATAAATAACATAAAGCAGTGTTAATTATATTTATCATGTTGTACATTACATCCCTAGTACTTATTTGTCTTATAACTGGAAGTTTGTACTTTTTGACTGCCTTCATCTAATTTTCCCTCTCCCCACCCCCTGCCTCGTAACCACAAATAGATCTCTTTTTCTATGAGTTTGTTTTTGAAGTAAAGGTGACCTACAGCACAATGTTAGTTCCTGGTGCACGACATAGTAATTCAATATTTCTGTACATTTCAAAATGATCACCATGATAAATCTAGGTACCAGCTGTCAACAGACAAAGATATATTTATTATATTCCCCATGCTGTACATTTCATACCTGTGACACAATTATTTTGTAACTGTAAGAAGTTTTACCTCTTAATCTCCCTCACCTATTTCTCTCCTCCCTGCACATCCCCACCCCAAATGGTAGGTATTCTGACTAACTGTATTTTTTGTTTTGTTTTTTTTAAATTGAAGTGTAGTTGATTTACAATACTGTGTTAGTTTCAGGTGTACAGCAAAGTGATTCAGTGATATATATGTATTTTTTTAGATTTTCCATTTTAGGTTATTACAAACCTAATATTTTTGTGGTTATTACAAAAGATATTGAATATAGTTCCCTGTGCTATACAGTAAATGTTTGTTTATCTATTTTATGTATAGTAATTTGTATCTGTTAATCCCATGCCCCTTCCCCTTTGGTAATCATAAGTTTGTTTTCTGTGTTTGTGAGTCTGTTTCTGTTTTGTATATAGATTTGTTAGTATTAGTTTTTAGACTCCACATGTAAGTGATATCATATTTGTCCAGAGACATTTCTAATAGATGTATGGGCCAGCACATTGACAACTGAACATTGTTGCCTGAGAATTTGTTTATTCAGCAACGAATGTTTGAGTGCCATTCTTAGATTTGTTTGGGATCCATTTGTGCACAAGATGACCAAGGTCCCTGTGCTCATGTGGTAGTTGGACAGGGTTGGGAGGGCCATGTAGGGATGGGGAAGAAAACAAGGTAACCATGTCCTTCAAGCTGCTGCTGGAAAGTGGACTCTTCCTGAGGGACTCCCTTAGACCCTTTCACTACTTCTCACCTCTCACCCACATTCTGGACGCCCAGCTGAAGCGGCCAAAGAACGACCTTTGTCAACAGAGCTTTCAGGCACAGAGCCCTGTATGTCCTCTGGCCCAAAGCCACGGCTTCAAAATCTTAACATTACCCTTTGGCCCAGGGTACTCTCTTGACACAGCCTCATAGATAATTTGTCCTGAACCTTGAAGTGAGGTGAGGGCTGAGGCCACTTTTTTTAGATACTTCTCTTCCTCTCCATTATTGTCTTATATTTTAAAAGCCCAGGTTGGATCAATAAGTATTAAATGTATCACATATTTATTACTCCTTTTGGAGACTGCTTGACTCTTTCCTCCCTCTCCTGCTTTATCAGTATCCTAGATACAGGATTGATACAAAGGATCTACCACAAATAGATCCTTTGGGGACTTCCCTGGTGGTGCAGTGGTTAAGAATCTGCCTGCCTATGCAGGGGACACAGATTTGAGCCCTGGTCCAGGAAGATCCCACATGCCGTGGAGCAACTAAGCCCGTGCACCACAACTCTGAGCCTGCACTCTAGAGCCCCCGAGCCACAACTACTGAGCCTGCGCGCCACAACTACTGAAGCCCGTCCACCTAGAGCCTGAGCTCCGCAACAAGAGAAGCCATCGCAATGAGAAGAACACGGACTGCAACAATAGAGGAGCCCCCGCTCAACACAACTAGCGAAAGCCCATGCGCAGCAGCGAAGGCCCAATGCAGCCAAAAATAAAGACAAAACCAAAAAAAACCCAAATAGATCCTTTGTATCAGTCTCTCCACTCCCTGCCTCTTTCTCCTATTGCCCACAGTATACAACTTAGCAGAGAGTCAACACTAAATATGATTCTACAAAAAATAAGGAAAAAAAGTTTTGTCCTATTACCCATTTTAATTAAAAAGCCCTTATTAGACAATCTGAAAACGATGGCTGAAAACCACAGCCTCCATCATCTTTGAAGCCAAGAATTAGCACCTGGGCTCCTGCCTGATTCATCGCTAAGGAAGGGATGAGAGGTGATCGGTGGTTGTCTGGATGCTGTTGATCAGTAACAGAACCTTGGTCAACATTGTCACTTTTCCAAACTTGACAAAATCCAGTTGGCTTTCCCACTGCATATTCTGGTGGCATCTTAGACCAGGTAGAGTTCAATAAACTTTCTTGAAATCCAGGATTTTGCAGAGATTGAAATTGTTCCCTCAAAGCCTAGATTGTCAAGGAGTAAACCACAGCTCTGGTTCTCTTCTTCACTGGGAGCAATTCATCTTCATAATCAAAGACTAATACATTCAGGTAAACTGTGTTCCTGTGTGGATTTAAATCTTACTGTTCAAAATTCACTCTTGATAGTAAAAAATAAGGATGAGGCAAATGGGTTGAAAAGGGTTCCGTAGGACCCTCTAATGGAAAAGGAGCCAAAGATTATAAAACTTTAGAGCTTATGAGTTTAATGACACATATCCCAAAATCTTCTTTCTGGAAAAGTTTCTTGAGAACTGGGGGCCAGAAATATGTTACAGAACAGCTATCTCATGGAATAATAACTCCTTTGAGTATGGTTTCCTACAGCTGTGCAATCTAACTCCTAGTTGGCTAAACCTCCTTACAGAAGTTAAGATATGCCCAGGGGACGCTGGGTCAAATAACCATGAACCAGCTTTCTCTTCCTCTCTGCCCTCCTCTATCTGGGAGGTGTTAGTAGCTTTGCTCAAGACTCCCCAGAGCAACTGGAATTGTTTCTGCTGGAGGAGACGCTCTGCAGCCCGGGCTCCGTGGGACTGAGGTGGCATCAGCTGGAGTGAGTGTGGGGATCCTGGGACAACCTTACCTGGTTTGTTTCTGAGAATTAAAGAAGTTGAGGGTAAGGGTCTTCTGGGAATTTTACTGAGGATGAAGAGGCCTGCAGGGAAACCACTAAGGGAGAGATTATTCAGGGTGAATGACCAAGAGTGTAGAGTGGATATTCTGGGGCCACTAGTTTTCCAGAACAGAGCTGAAATTGCTGGTTTTAAGAATGACTACTTTCTCCTCTGGTTGAGCACAGAGGGAATAACTAGCAGATTTGCTTATTTAAAAAGAGAGGAATTAATGCAGAACTTTTTCATTTAAAAAAAAAAGACTAAATCTGAAACTTTGTTTGTCTCTTTTGGACCCTCATCTAAGAGCTCCTAAACATCTACAACCTCTTATCTCTTAAAGTTACTTTCATTTTTTATTTCTTACCCTGAATCCTTATAAGAAACTACGGTCTTGACAAGTAGGCTGCGGGACAACTCATCCCTATGGGACTCTAAGGACTGGCCACTTGTCTGTGACATTCATCCTCCAAATACCTTCTCTTCAGGGAACTTGAGTTCCCAGACAGCCTGGGCCCCCCTGATGGCCATGAGAGGTAGGGGACTGATCCTGTGGATCTCAGGCTGAGGACTTTCTCATGGACCTGGAACCCTCTGCTTTGCAGCTTGAAGAGCTCCGATGGCAGTTAACAAGGGTCCAACTTTGCTGGATGAAGATCGCCCTGTAAGTAACTTGGGCTCATATGAGACAGTGGACAACTCTGTGGGGAGGAAGGAGACGGGAGGAGAAGTTCAGGAGGCTTAGAGCAAGATATGTCTAGATTATATTCATAACTCATTGACCATTATGTCTTAGTTATTCTTGCCCTCACTACCTTTTGCAGAAGGCTGTTAGAGAATGTGAGGGGGAAGAAAAGATGTCTATTAAAAACTAAGTACCTTGGAGAAAAAGCACAGAAAAGTTGGCTGGGAGGGAAAGGAGAGGAAGGGAACTACTATATTCTAAAGCCTGAAACAGAAGCCCATGCTTTGTCCACCCAGGCGAAATGTATATTTGGGATGGAGCCTCTGCATTTTGTAACTCCAGAGGCTTCTTGTATGGTGCAGTCTATGTAAATGGCACCTCTTAGAGTTACACGATGCACATTATGTATGTGGGAAGGGGTTAGAGGGGCAGTGTGTCCAGTTTGTGTGTCTGACCTGGTTTTCAGTGTGACTCAGAGTGGTTTGACACGTTTAGGTGTATTGATGCCTCCTGGCAAGGCCTCTCTAACTTAGGTACAGTTCAAATAGTGAAACTTAAAAATTGTGAACCCATATAATACCCATCTTGTCCCAAGTTAGGCTTTAACTAACCTCTGTACTAGTAATCACCATGTTAAGTTTTTTATTGGATCATAGAACACAGAGAGGCATAAAATGGTCAAGTGCATAGTTAAGAGGTATTGATAGTTTATTGCCGTCCCAGGACCTCTCTCCTTTGGCTTTGCCTAAAACAACTCCTGAAGGTTCTGTCCAAAATGTTAAAGAAATTTTTTCTTGTTTACAGTCATAATCTTTTTCTAGTTCAAATTTCAAACTCACCTGCAAGACCAAAAGCTGAAATATTGCAGCTTGCTGTCTAGTATACATGAGGTCTCCTTGATGGGTCTTCTAACTCAGCCGCCTACAAACAGAAGAAGCTAGGTCCTCACCTTTAGAGCAGAACTATGCAACAGTGCATATTCAAAGCTACAGAAAGAGCTCGAACATCTGAGTCAGACCTGGGATGTTTATGTGGAGAATTCTTAATATTCCTAAGAACAGACAGAAAAATATAATACCCTTCACTAGCCCCAGCAACCATAATCCATGGACAATTGTGTCTCATCCTCACCCCATTCATTCCCCAGCCTTGTGTTTTTTGTTTTGTTTTGTTTTTGTTTTTTTGCGGTACATGGGCCTCTCACTGCTGTGGCCTCTCCCGTGGCGGAGCACAGGCTCAGGACGTGCAGGCTCAGCGGCCATGGCTCATGGGCCCAGCCGCTCCGCGGCATGTGGGATCTTCCTGGACTGGGGCACGAACCCATGTCCCCTGCATCGGCAGGCGGACTGTCAACCACTGCGCCACCAGGGAAGCCCCCTTGTGTTATTTTGAAGCAAATCTCAGACATGCTGTTTCAGGCCTGAGTTGGCCTGGCAGTGCCACTCACTAACTGTGTGATCTTGGGTAAGTCACTTCACATCTCTGAGTCTTTGTCTCATTGGCAAAGTGCTGATGATAATGCTGACCTCAGAGTGTTGCTCTTAGAATTAAATGAGGTCATATCATGAAAGCACCCCAATCAGTGCCTGGAGCATAATGGCACTGAGTAAATGTTGTTTCCCTCTGCAGGATTAGAATCCACTTTTTCTTTTTTTTTTTTTAACCTCAAAGATCAGTGTTTCTCCACTAAGATTCTTAGGTGATCTAAAGTTTAATTAAGTGCCTGCTGTTGAGGTTAGAATGCATTAATAAGACCACAGCACCCCAATAACGAGAGGTGATGGTTTCACTATACCTCACACACTCAGACCACACCTGGAATGCTGTCTTCAAGTCTGAGTGCTATATTTTTTAGAAAGGCGATGTCAAACTGTAGTGTGTGCAGAGGAGGGAATCAGCAGATCAGGGCGCTGAGCCGTTTGTAAGCTAAGTAAGCTATTTAGAATGGAGAAGGGACTGCTAAAGGGAGAAATATTTGTCTTCAAGTGTGTGAAAGGCCAGCCCGTGAATGATGAAACAGATTTCCTCAGTATTGTTACACAGGGCAGAGAGTAGAGCGGATTTCAGCTCAGCCACGCTGTCCAACAAGGGGCATAGGCCACTCTATGAGGGGTGAGCTCCATGCAAGGAGACGTCCAAATACAAGCCTCCCAGAGGGACCGTGGGAAGCAGTCTTGCTACAGAGGCCCCTGGAGGCCTAAGATTCTGTGATTCTGTATGGTTGGGCAGATCTAAACTTAACACCTTAGGTGCAGCCCTGACTGTGATTCACCTATTCAACTAACATTACTGTGCAGGCTTTAGGTTAGGCCCTGGAGATACAGAGATGACAGTCTCCTGGGAGAGAGCCAAGTACACACATGATCAAGACGAGCACCATGTATGATACGGAAACAACCCAGCGAGGGAAGTGGTGGCTTCTGATGTGAAGGAGGAGAGTCAGGAAGCTTCACACAAGAAGCAATGCTCAAGCCGTGTCTTGAAGGAGTGACATTTTGCCAGACGGAAGGGACTGTGGGAGGGAAGGGGAGCATCCTAGGCAGTGGGACAAGCACTGGAGGCAGGGAGGCAGTCTCCCGAAAAGACCAGAAAGATGTTCAAATGAAGCTACCAATCCAAGGTGGACTAAAACTCTAGGCAGGTGTGCCGACACACTTGCTCCTACCATTAAGTTTAAGTGGGGTGGCTGCGGGTTGGGGGGTAGCCCCTGGAGGCCAGAGTTTGCCCAGTAGCTCTCCAGAGCCAGGATTGTGACCAGGAGAGCATGGCAGCCTGGCTCTTGTTTTCCCTGTGGGGCCTCCAGAGACCTCTCTAGTCTGGGTTTCTCCTAGGTCACTTGGACCCAGGCCAGCCCTAATGGGCTCCATGGCCCTGGGGCTGCCTCCCCAGGAGGTGGGAGGAGGAGGTGGGATGACTTCAGTACCTGCTTTCCTTCCACTCCAGGAGCAGGAGAACGTGCTGCAGCGGGTCCTGCAGCTGCCGGTGGTGAGCAGCACCTGTGAGTGCTTCCAGAAGACCTATACCAGCACCAAGGAAGCCCACCCCCTGGTGACCTCTGTATGCAGTGCATACGAGAAGGGCGTGCAGAGCGCCACCAGCTTGGCAGCCTGGAGCATGGAGCCGGTGGTCCGAAGGCTGTCCACCCAGTGTGAGTCCTTGCACTCGGAGGCTGTCTGCCTGTTCAGTGATGCTCACTGCCTGCCTGCCAGTCTTTTGTCCGTCTATCAGTCTGTTTGATAGCTTGCTTGTCTGTCTGCCTTTTTGTTTGTCTGACTGCCTTCCTGAGTATCTACATCCCAATACATAGTCTTTTCATCTACAGATATAGATGATATAAATATAGACGTAGATATAGATATAGGTCTCTTCTCATGTATAGATGCCTCATCTGTAGCCCAGCTGGCATTTGCCTAGGACGACAATGATGGGCCACATAACTGGCAGGAGAAGGGGTGGGCAGAGCTATGAGGGCAGTGGTGGGAGTGGGGGCCCATGGCAGACCAGACACGCACTTTGGCTCCAAATCCAGCAGCAGCAGCAGGAACTAGCAGAGTCTGGCACAGAGGCAGAGGCAGTGGGCACTAGGGCTAGCCTGGCAGGGTTGGGGGGAGAGGAGGGAGAGGGGAAGCCCTCTGGGTCCAGCAGCTGATGGTACTGGCCCCATGACAGGCCGGGGCAGCAGAGAGCTACCAGTCAGGGCCCTGAAGGTGAGGACGACTTACCAGACCTGCCCCTGTTCAAATTGTTCTGCCCCGTTGGAAAATATGGTCTCCACGGCACGGCTCTTGACAGGGCTGAGGGAAATTCCAGAAGTCTAGGACCTGCCACAGTCCTGATTACAGAGTTATGGGTATCTGAGGATTTGGCACAGCCAACGGGAGAGGGCAGATATAAAGAAGACCTGGGCCTGGGTCCGCCTCCCTGCCTGCAAAGTCCTTAAATAATTTCCCTGCGTCTCACTTTGCCCAATCGGAAGTCAGCCAAGTCATCTGGGCTCTCTGCTGCTTGAGAATTTTGTGAAGAAACCTGGGATATCTGGAGAAAGAACATATGAAAGAGAATATATAGATATCCTTTAAAACTGTGATCTCCATGGTCATGTCTGCAGAGCTGATGTCCTCGGCAGCCCCTGGGCAGTATCTCCCAGGAACATTTGCATCCTCTGGCACTCTTCCCTGTGACCTTCTTCCCAGTGTTGACCATCTCATTCCTAGAGGTTAAAAGGAAGGGCCATGGACTATCTGGAACTCTAGAACAGCCTTTCACCTCTAGAATTAAGCATTGCCAGGCCTGCTCCCACCCTAGGGCCTGGCTGCCCCTCCACCATGACACCTCTGCTCTCCCCCCTCGTGTTCACCCAGCGCTCACCCAGAGAGGGGTTGTAGGAGGAGGAGAGACCAGGATCTGTTGGTGATTCACAAAGGTTCTGTCACTTCCTCCTCACAACAACCCTGCAAGGTTTGTCCACATTAATCCACATTTTACAAGTGAGGAACTTGAGGCTCAGCCAGGTTGCGACCTGCCTGAAACTACACTGCAGATGCAGGTGCTGGGCTTTGAGTGCAGATCTGCATGACTCCAGAGCTCCTGCTCAGAGGGAAAACATCCTGCTCTCAAGGAGTCACAGTGAATGGTGGCTAAAGGTAGCAGAGGGCCTCAGATTCCCAGATGCTTTGGGGGTAGCAGGGCTGGGGGTTTTGAGGGCTCCAAGGTGCCTTCCTTGGCACAGAGGCCCCTGCTGGGCTCTCACAGTGGGGGCAGGGCTCACGTGACCATGGCCTTTTGCTTCCAGTCATAGCTGCCAACGAGCTGGCCTGCCGAGGCCTGGACCACCTGGAGGAAAAGATCCCGGCCCTCCAGTATCCTCCCGAAAAGGTGAGCCCCTCCCCTCTTCTCTAAGGCTCCCCACATTGTTTTCACTGCCTCCCAGTTGAGGAGAGGGCACGAGCCCATGATGCATAAATGTGAGTCTTTTGTTTCTGTGGCAAATGCCTTCCAAGGCTGGTGGCAGCTGCCTGTCCCTAAGACCATACGATGGGCTTCTTCCTCTCCCTGTGGGGCCAGATGAAGGCAGGCTTTCTGAAACCAGCAGGCACAGCCCAGAGGCAAACTCAAACAGGAGCTTGGGGTAGGACCCACTGCTTCTGATTCCCTGCTCTTTGGACCGTTTGGTGACTACAGCCACCTGAGATCGTGGGTCACACTCGTCAGATCCCAGGCTTGCAGTCCCATGTCCTCAAGATCCAACACTTTATGGACCATGAGACTGAAAATGTCACTTTACCTGGATGGCTATTCATTGGGCATTTGCCATGGTAAGGGCCATGTCTGGTACTTTGGGGGAATAAGTTGCACTCTCAGACGCTATCCATCTCACTGACAAACTACCACCATCTCACAAACATTTACTGAGCCCTACCCTATGACAGGGGTCATGACATATGATTTATAGAGCCCTCTCATTTAATCCTCTTATCAATCCTCTGGTATAGGGGTGGGTATCCCCATTTTACAGATGAGAAAACTAGTGACTTCCCCCTGACCACACAGCCTTAAGTGGAGGCCACATGAGAGCAGGTCTATTTGGCTCTGAGGCCTGTGCTCTTCACTTATTTTTCCAGATAAACGGCAACGTCTTTGTCACAGAGGAGCTCCTAAGGCAAAGGAGAGAAAGACATTATTTCAATGCAGAACCTGTAGGAAGATCAACCACATCTATAAGTCCACATAAGTGCAGATAGGAATGTGAGCAATGTTCTGAGGGCAAGACAGAGCAGACAGCAGAGGAATTGGAAGAGGAGATGTCTTGTGTGCATGAGGTGTTATCAAGGAGGTGGACTTTAGGGGGCATTCTTGAAGGATGGTTAGGATCTTGACAGGTAGAAATGGGGTGCAAAGAAGTCAGGAGATCTAAGTGGTTGGCACAAGAAGGACTGGAGCCCTTTTCCTTTTAAGTTCAGCTTAATCAAGCTGCCCAAATATTGGTGCCAGTCCCCTTTAAATGAGGCTTTCCTGAAGCTGGGCTCAGGGTCTGTCAGATCCAATGCCTGACTCCCCTCCCCACTTCCTCCAGATTGCTTCTGAGCTGAAGGACACCATCTCTACCCACCTTCGCAGTGCCAGGAACAGCATCAGTGTGCCCATCGCCAGCACTTCAGACAAAGTCCTAGAGGCCGCTCTGGCTGGCTGTGAGCTCGCCTGGGGGATGGTCAAAGACACTGCCGAATTTGCTGCCAACACCCGAGCTGGCCAGCTAGCCTCTGGAGGAGCCGACTTGGCCTTGGGTGGTGTTGAGAAGGTGGTAGAGTTCCTCCTCCCTCCAGCCAAGGAAGAGTCAGGTATCTGCCATTAGGGGGCCTGGGGAGTGAGTTGGCCCCCATGCTGCTTGGGAATTAGGAAGAGGCAGCCAGGGCCCATCTAGCCCCTGCTCTGGAACAGGGATGGCCCAGCAAGATTTTCAGATGGATCCATCCTCACCTAGCCCTCTCTCCCCATTTTTAAGTGGAGAAAGTGAGTTTCCCAAATCACCAGCGAGCTTGTGGTGGAGCTAGGATGACCACTTTCCAACCCTAGACACAACCCAGCTTTGCCCAGTGCCTTTCTGATCAGCTTTCCTTTCCTTCCCCTCACAAACTCCTACCTAGCCCCTGCTCCAGGACACCAGCATGCCCAGAAACCTCCCCAGGCCAAGCCGGGCCTCGTGAGCAGGGTTGGGGCCCTGGCCAACACTCTCTCTCAACACACCTTCCAGACCACAGCCCGGGTGCTGAAACAGGGCCAGGCCCTGGCCATGTGGATCCCAGGTGTGGCGCCCCTGGTGAGTGTCTGCCCTGAGCTCTGACTGACCCACGGCCTGGGAACCCTGTCTGTGGGCCTCCTGGTCCCTCCCATCCCCTACCCAATTCTGCCTCCTGTCCTAGGAACTTCCTCTCTTCCGGCCTGGGCAGGGACTTTAGGTCTAAGGGCAAGAGGACTTTGGGGTGGTGGGCTAGTCCTCTAGGATGCAAGGGGAGAGGGCAGGCCTGCTTGTTAGGGTGGTCCTGCCCCCCACCCTCTTCTGTCTCTCCCATTCTCCCTCTGAGTCACCCCCACCCTCCCAAGCCTTCCTCCTCCCAAGTGGGCCCTCCCACTTGTGAGGAAGCAGAGACACCCCCCCCACACACCGTCTGCCCTCTAGGCACTAGGGAGTGTCATCTGTAAATAAGCAAGGCACAAAACCCATTCTGTTGGGCAGAGAGCCCCAGTTGGGCTGTGTCTCTGACTGCGCCCAGGGTTCTGGTTTCCCTTCTAGAGGCTTCTAATTTGCATCCCACTGCACCCAAGGTAAAGCTGCCTTTTCTAGGCCCAGATAGGGCTTACTCCCCACCACACCCCACCTCCACCTCTCTGTGTATTTTAGCAGAGATAGCCTGGATTATTTTCATAGGAACTTTAGTAAGAAACTAAGCAGCCCCCCACCTCAAAAAAAAGGAAATAAAAGCATTAACGCATAAATGTCAACAAACAAGATAACCACTTCTCAGCCATCAAGAGGGTGGTACTTTTAAAAGCATCCTCAGGCCTGGCTTATTCATTCAAGCAAATGTTTGCTGAGAACCTACTATGTGCCAGCTCCTGTAGCTCCAGTAGGGATACAGGAGTAGTAGTTCTCCTCTGTCACCTGCACTGGGGGGCCACTTCCCCATGGGGGCTAGACTAACTCCTGCGCCCTGGCCTAGCCCCTAGTGGGCAGGGGCCACTGTACGGCACAGCCTCAGCCACCACCGTTCATATAGAAAATAATGGTGTCCCAGGGACTTCCCTGGCGGTCCAGTGGTTAGGACCTTGCCTTCCAATGCAGTGGGTGTGGGTTCGATCCCTGGTCAGGCAGCTAAGATCCCACATGCCTCGCAGCCAAAAGACCAAACATAAAACAAGCAATACTGCAACAAATTCAATAAAGACTTTAAAAATGGTCCACATCAAAAAAGAAAAAAATCTTAAAAAGAAAATAATGGTGTCCCCTAAGGATGTATAACAAGGAGACCCTGTTTGTGGGGTTCCCTAGGGGTTTGAAATGAGCCAAGCTGTGCCCCAGGGGACACCAGCCCACCTACCCATGTCAGTTTCCTCCCATGGGATCCTCTGGCCCACTTGATTTTTTTCACTCTTTAAAAGATCTGCAGGGAGTATGTACTAAAGCTAAACATACATATCCCCTATGACTCAGCAATTCCACCCGACAGAAATAAGAGCTTATGTCCCCCAAAGACACACCGGAAATGTTCCTATCAGCTTTATCCTTAGCCAAGAACTGGAAATAGCACAAATGTCCATCAACAGTAGAATGGGTATATTGTGGTATATTTATTCAGTGGAATATGACACAAATGAAAAAGGAGGAACTACTCTGACACTCAGTAATGTGGATGAATCTCACAACACAACGTTGAACAAAAGCTATTCATGAAAGAAAACACGTTGTGTGAGTCCATTTACAAATGCGAAAAATCAATGCATGGTGATAGAGGCCAGAATGTGGTCACCCTTATGTGGTACTGACTGGGTGAGGGGCACAGGGAGTCTTCTGGGGTGTCGAAAATGTCTATATCTTGATCTGTAATGGTCACACAGGTGTGTGTTTCTAAAAATTCCCAGAGGTGTATACTAAAGCTTGTGCACCTTAGTGGGTGTAAGTTACCACTCCATAAAAAGTTTGAAGAACAGTCTGCTGGGGCCAGGCCCTGCTTGCCTCCCCCAACCCTGACCCTGGGGGTGAGGGGCTTTGCCTGCTGAGGCTGCCCAGCCTCTGGCAGGGGCTGTGAAACCAGCAGCCCGCCACCTTCCCGCCCTCAGAGCAGCCTGGCCCAGTGGGGCGCATCGGTGGCCATACAGGTGGTGTCCCGGCGGTCGAGTGAGGTGCGGGTGCCCTGGCTGCACAACCTCACTGCCACCCGGGAGGAGGACCACAATGACCAGATGGACACAGAGGGGGAGGAGACAGAGGTGGAGGAGGAGGAATCAGAGACGGAGGAGAACAAGCTCAGTGAGGTAAGGGAGAGAGCAGAAGCCGAGCGGGATGCGGGAACCTGGAGGTCCCACAGCCCACCGAGGGGGTGAGAAGCAGAGGCCCCGGGTGAAACAGGGGCCCCAGGAATGTAGTACATGGGTGCAGTGCTCTTCACCTCACCCCCAAACGCCCAGATAACAAAGTTCTCTCAGAGGATCCTCACAACAACCCCATAAAATAGGCAGGACAGAGATTGTCATCCCCATTTTGCAGATGAAGAAACTGAGGTTCAGAGAGCAGAAGTGACCTGCCCAAGAGCCAGGCTAATAGTTTTTTCAGTTTGGTATCCACGTTCTTTCCCCTCTAGCTCTGGGGATGGTGAGGAGAGGGGAAGGGTCAGGGGAGTTGCTGAGGAGGCACTGACCTTGCTCTGGCCCCCAGGGAGCAGCCCTGCCTGGCCCACAAGACCTCCTGGGTGGTGTGGTGCACACCCTGCAGAAGGCCCTCCAGAGCACCATCTCGGTCGTGACGTGGGTGCCTGCGGCTGTGCTGGGCACGGCAGGGAGGTTGCTGCATCTCATGCCAGCCCGTGCTGTCTCCTCCGCCAAGGGCAGGGCCATGTCCCTGTCTGATGCCCTGAAGGGCGTTACTGACAACGTCGTGGACACCGTGGTGCACTATGTGCCGGTGAGTCCCCCTACCCTTCCGGCTAACCCTCCCCCTCCCCCCCACCCCTGAAAGGACAGATAAAGCAGATTTGACTGAAGGGGCTGCAGCTGCCCTCCCTTCCCCAGTCTCTGATCCTCAGTGCCCCAGAAACATTTTGACATACTATGGCCTTGACTGGGGGCCTTGGCAGCCCCCAAAGTACAGAGACCTGTGGCCTTGGCCTGAGACCTTTCCCCACATCTGTCCTTCCCACCTGCTGCTGGGGAGGTCACCCACCATTAATCTGGGGGTCCCAGTGGCCAAGTCCTCACCCCTCAGCTCCGAACTGAAGGACCTGGCAGGTTTGCATGCTGCTCCCTGGGAAAGCGTTGCAGGGAGGCTTCCAGGGCACCCTGCGGGGTCGGCTAGGTTCCAGGGGACAGCAGCTGCCGCCATGCCAATTCCAACACCTGTCACCAACAGGAAAACCCCAAGGAGTGCCAGTACTATCACTTTGGGGGTCCCTGGGTCCCTTTCCAGAGCAAGTTACAGGTCGAGCAGTCAGTAGGAGGGCTGGTCAGGGCAGGAGGCCCCTTAGAGCTGAGGGTTGAGGGAGGCTGTGAGGGTAGTGGGGGAATGGGTTACTCAGCCACTCACTCTCACTAAGAGGCATGGCAGGGGGTCTTGGCAGCCAGCTTGTTCACCTTGGGCCCAAAACAGAGCCAGGCGTGGGTACCCTGACCCAGGCAGGGGCAAGGAAGGGTCCACGGAAGGGTCAGGAACGCCACTGACCTCCCACTGAGGAACCTCCGAGGGAGACCCGAGGGGTCCAGAAACTTTAGAGGGTGGCTGGCTGCCTTGCCTTGGGGGTCTGGACTGTGCACACTGTCAGGGAGGGCAGGACCTAAGCGGTCTCCCCCACACCCTCCATCCCTGTCCCACACCCCGGCCTCTGCCCTCCGGACGGTCGCTCCCTGGAGGCGTGACCGCGAGGGCCGCAGAGGAGGCGGTGGTGGGAGGCGCAGGGACTAGGGCCAAGGCGGGAGCCTAACGTGGTTTGCCGGCCCCCAGCTCCCCAGGCTGTCGCTGATGGAGCCCGAGAGCGAATTCCGGGAGATCGAAAACCCGCCTGCCGAGGCCGAGAGCCCGGAGGCGGAGCGCAGGGGGTCCGGGGCGCTGCCCGCCGGCTCGGATACCACGTCGCGCCCCGCGCAGTCCCGCGGCAGCCTGCGCAGCGCTCGGGGCCCGGGCGCGGAGGACCGGGTGGACACGGCCGCCGCGCCGCGCACCGCCTTGCCGGCCATGCCCCGCGAGAAGCCCGCGCGCAGGGTCAGCGACAGCTTCTTCCGGCCCAGCGTCATGGAGCCCATCCTGGGCCGCACGCAGTACAGCCAGCTGCGCAAGAAGAGCTGAGCCCGCTGCCCCCATCGCCGTCCCGGCCCGCCGCCCCGCCCCGGCCGAGCGCTGGGGCTGTTGTCTCCTGAAAACAAACAGAACCTACGTGTCCAAATGAGCATTGACTTCTTCCAAGTAGTCCCCTTGGGTCCCGAGCCTCATTCCAAGGATGCTGCCAAGGCACACATCATCTTCTGAGCATCCTTTTTGGGCTTAGCTGTCAGAGCCCATTTTTGAGAAGCATCAGACTAGCAGTCTGCTTTAATTCTATGCCTTGTTATTTTTACCAAAAGATTAATTGCCTAACTTGATCTCTCACTTCTTTCACTAAATTTGTGGCCAAGTGACATTTAACTGTTTCCAGTATTTACATCCATCCTCTGTAGACACATATTTGTCACCAGTGAACGTGTCACCACCCTAAAGGTTCAAGCAGTAGATCCTGGCACATTTTTAAGCCCTGAATGCAGAGATTCTTCTGAGTATACAGGCTCTCAGAAGACTACTTTGAGGGGAACAGCAATCAGGTGCAAAAGCTCTTGAGTGTTTATACCTACGAGCATCACTTTCTGAGTGCCCCACACTCTTCAAAGGCTGAGTCCTGGCCTGTGCTCTGTAGCGCCACCGTCCTGTTCACAGCTACATTCCCATTTGCACCCTTACTGCTTTCCACCTGCATGTTCACCCTTCCGTCCACTTCTCGAATGCTGGCGCCCCTAGTGCTGGGAGACAGTGGTGATCGTTTGTTATACAGTATAGACCATATATTTGGACTCTATAGCCACTGTTCATTCCAAGCCCTATTTTTGAAAATGTTAATATTTCGTACATTTGGAAATGCATACATATAAGTTAAAAATTCAAACACTGCCAAAGGATGTGTGCCTTCCTCCCTGAGTTCCCTGGTTTCTCTTCCCCAAAGCAACCATGGTGCCAGTCTCTTCTGTATCTTTCTGATTACGGACTGTGCATGCACAGGCACATGTGTATATACTCCCCACTGTTTACACAAGCTGTGGGAGGTTATACTCAGTGCTATTTTCACTCAGCAATACATCTTAGAAATCTTTTTTGTATCAGTATCATAAATCCTCCTTGCTCTTTTTAACAGCCACACAGTAAGTGCTTCATAATATAGATGTGCTATGTTTGATTAAACTAGTGCCCTAATCATGGACTTTTAGGTTGTTTCCAATTGTTTGCTCCTTCGAACAGTGCTACAATAAATGTCTTTATACAAACGTTTCATGTAGACGTGTGCATATAGCTATAGGGTAAATTTATAACTTGGAATGATGACATGTCGAGTGAAAGGGAACGTTCATTTTAAATCTTGATAGATAATGCCAAGTAGCCTTCCAAACCAAACTCAGTTTTTCTTGTCATCTGCAGCTGCACAGATAATTCTGACACTTCTGTCAGTCCTTTTAGACATCTCTATATATATACACTCAGCCCCTATAGGTCCCCCTCAGATCCATGAGCACCCTCTTGGCCGCCACTCTGTGGCACACCTAAGAGTCCAGCTCCGTGTAACTGACTCTGGGCCCTGGCAGATCTTTGGTGTAATGAGTCCTTGGCCTTTATCCGTGGTTTTGAAATCTGAGGATGCCCAGAATGAGGAGAGGGGAGTGTTGATGGACATACACATATGGACATGGTCATGACCTTGAACTAGCTTTGGGCCCTCCACCCAACCTCACAATCCACACCACACTCAGCAGTTTCCTGGGGAGGGGGTATGGATCTGGCAAGAGGGGCCCTCAGAAGGTGATATGACATGGCTAAGAAGGCAGTACCAGCCTAGCCCTGGCAGGGTTCCTGTGGGCAGCTGCTGGAGAACTGGCCTCAGGTCTGGTTGTGTAGAGAGAAACACACAGCTATCCTGGGCCTCACCTGCCCATGCTGCTTTCTTCCTGGAGCTCCAGAAACCACACTCCTGACTGTCTACTCCTCCATAGTCCTGTGGCTCCTCCTGCCAGGAGCAACCCAGGAGAACTGTAGAAGTCAGAACACCCATTGGCCAGACACAGACCCCTCACCCTGTCCTGGACCTCAGCCAGGGTGCCGGGAACCAGTACAGGACAGCCCAGGAAGCAAACAGCTTGCCATATAAGTCTCTTTTTATTATTAAATAGATGGTAAAGTGCTCTGAGCCTGGCCCTCAGTATTTCTGAATACTTTTTGGTGAGAAATGAGAGCAAAGCCTCTTCTCTAAATGGCAGAAATTTGCCTCATTGGCTCCAGGTTGGATGTGGGACTTTTCTCTGTTCTGACAACAGAACATGTTCTTGCTCATGTGGATGTGAGGGCTCATCCACACTCATCTTTGGTAGCTCTGGACCTCAGGAAGACTTCCCCTTCACACTGGGATGCCAACGTTCCTCTCCAGAGAAATACTCTATCCCTTCTCTTCTATTCCAGCTCATAAAATGCACCTCCAACTCAATCACAGCTTTTAGAGATGGAAAAACAACGATTACAGACATACATTTATCCATGCAATTATTTACCACTTTTTTCTTCCATACTTATCTGGGATCTTAATATCCAAAGGACTTCTGAACCTGGAGAGAGATATCTCTGCAACTTGGGTTTTAATGCTTATTGTATTAGCCATAGTTTTCCTAAACATTTAAGCACTTTTTACTTAATCAAACTTATTAAATGCATTAATCAAATTATTTTAAATATTTAAATGTTGATACAAACTAAAAAGTCATCAGCTCCATATTCCAGCCACAGAAAAGAGCAAGGGGGTAGAAGAAATTAAACTTCTGCTTATAACTCACTAGAAAAAACTTAGAGTCACATGGCCACATCTGGCCGAAAGGGAGGATGGGAAATATAGTCTTTATTTGGGGTGGCTAGGCATCTAGTTAAAAATCTGAGGTCTTAAAAGGAGGGGAAGTGGATTCTGGGGGTGGGGGGCAACTTGCAATCTCTGCCACACCACTCTCCTGTCAACAGACATTTGGGTTGCTCCTCTATTTCTACTATTACATACTTTTGGCAGTAAACATTGTTATGAGTTGCTTAGGGAATATGATGAAGAGTGGGACTGCTAAGTCATAAAGTATGTGTATTGTTAACTAGATATTGCCAAATTGTCCTCCAACTTGGTTGTTCTGATTTACATTCTCACCAGAAGTATATGAGTCCTCTTATTCAACGTTCTTACCAACACTCGGTATTGTCTGGTTTTATCATTTTTGCAAATCTGAAGTGTGTATAATGGCATTTCTTTGTGGACTTAATTCCGTGAATCACAGTGATATTGAACATTGTTTATTATGTTTATCGAATGTTTGTATTTTCCCTCTGTGAAGTGTCTGTCAAAACTTTTGCGCAGTTTTCTATTGGTTGTTTTTCTTTTTCTCATTGATTTTTAGAAGACTTTAATATTTTTTGGATACCAATCCTTTATCAGCTCTACGCATCACAAATATCCTCTTCCAGTGTGTGGTTTTTCATTCTCTTTATGGTTTCTTTCAATGAACAAAAGTTCTTAATTTTTACTTAGTCAAAATTATAATTCTTTTCCTTTATGTTTTGCAATTTTGAGTAGTTTTTAAAGCTCTCCCTACCATGAAGTCATGAAGATATTCCCCTGTATTTTCTTCAAATATTTTCATAGTTTCGCCTTTTACATTTAATTAATTTTTATATATGGTTTAAGTAGGAATCTGATTTTTCTTCCATATGGATAACTGATTATCCTATACTTTTCCTAATTTCTTGAATTTTTAGTTTCTCCTTAATTGAATTGTACACTGTGGGAAGGCTAAGAGTTTCTTATAGAAGTCAGCTGGAAGCTTCTGACCTGTTGATGTCTGATGCCTGAATGATGCTTTCTTGCATCTAGGTGGAACAGAGGGACCAGGTTCTGCCTCATGTATGGAATAGTCTGGCTTCCCCCGACTCTCAGTTCCGTCGTAGATCAAGTTTCCAAATGTGTTCTATTTATCTATTCCTGTGGCATTAGCACATTGTCTGACTTACAACAGTTTAAAATCTGGTTTCATATCTGGTTGGGCAAGCCCCCCACATTGCCCTTCTGTAGGAGGGCTTTACAACTTCTGGCTCTTTGCTTTTCCATACAAATAATAAAGTCAGCTTGTCAAATTCTACAAAAGGAAAATTTACAGACTCAGCTTGTTTCAATTAACTATAATTATTATTTGCTCTTTTGATGCTCAAATTGTCACAATTTGGCCCCTTTAAGTAGGGGCCTTTGTCCTTTAGGCTGACAACGAACATTCTAAAAGCATGTTTTTTCTGACCACAAAAAAATGATTCCTGTTCTTGACCTAATCCATGGGATCAGCTTTTAAAGAGGAATAGTGGTAGCACAATTTGGACCCTGGATATGCATATCTGATTGTTCCATGTGCATATTGGTGATAGACAGAAAAACACTGCACACCCACTAGTGACAGCTAGAAAAAAGGCATTTCTTTCCAAGGTCATCAATTCACGTTGATAGTTCCCGTGAACTCTAACATCACAAAAATCTTTAAAATTACTGTAACAAAAGTTTCAATTTTCTTTTCTCTAAACTTAAGTACCTTAAAATTGTAATTATAATTATACCAAGGTTTCACTGATCATGATCACCTTTTGTTACATTTACATACATAAAGATCCAAGTTTAGTTTTAGGCTTCTTCACATTGAGTCTAAATGAATCTTTTTTGACTGTGTGGTAACAGGCTGCTCCGAATCATTCCAGCTGAGGACCCCAACTTCTTTAGAATATTTCAGACCAACAGAGTAGTTCTATAGCATATCAGAGAACAATGGGGTTTCATCTACTTTTCCCACATGCTTGAATTTTTGGTTTCTCCTAAACTGAATTATATATTGTAGGAAGGGTCATAGCTTCTGGCAGCTTCTAACAGATGAATGTTTGGTACAAGAATGATGGTCCTTCATGATACATGAATCAGTTGACCAGCCTCTCTTAGCTTTGAAAATTCTAGGAGGTGGTTGTGGATATCATGGATGACTTCCTGTATTAGGGTTCTACAGACAAACAGAACCAACAGGAAGTATATAAATTTATACCAGTAGGAAATATATATACAATTGACCCTTGGACACTGCATAGGTTAGGGGTGCCGACCCTCTGCATAGCTGAAAATCCGAGGGAGATTCCCTGGTGGTCTAGTTGTTAGTGTTGTGGTCTGCAATTCGGCGCTTTAACTGCCATGGCCTGGGTTCAATCCCTGGTTGGCCACGGGGCCAAAAAAAAAAAAAAGAAAAGAAAATCCGAGCATAACTTTACAGTCAGCCCTCTGTACCTGCAGTTCTGCATCTGCGGATTCAACCAACAGGGATTGTGTAGTAATATAGTATGTATTTATTGAAAAATATATGAGTATAAGCCGACCTGCACAATTCAAACCTGTGTTGTTCAAAGGTCAACTGTATATATAACTATGTATACATATATATATTTTATATTTATATATATATAAAGAGATTCATTATAAGGAATTAGCTCACAAGATTATGGAGGCTGGCAAGTCCCGAGAACTACAGGCTGAATCAGCAAGCATGGAGACACAGGAGAGCCAGTGGTTTAGTTCCAGTCCAAAGACTGGCAGGCTCAAGACCCAGGAAGAGCCGATATTTCAGTTTGAGTCTGAAGGCAGGAAAAAAGCCAAAGTCTCAGTTAAAAGACAGGCAGGAAAACTCTCCCTTATTTGGAGCAGGATCAGCCTTTTTGTTCTATTCAGGCCTTCAACTGATTGGATGAGGGCCACCCACGTTGGAGAGCACAATCGGCTCTCCTCAAACATATGTTAATCTCATCCAAAAACACCCTCACAGAAACATTCAGAATAATGTTTGACCAAATATTTGGGCACCCCACAGCCCAGTCAAGTTGACACATAAAATTAACCATCACACTTCCCAACATCCATGCATATTCATCTCATGTGCATATTCCAAGCCAACCATAGTTATTCTGTCTCCTTGTCAGTGATGATTTCAGGGGTGGACAGGCCTCAGCCATGATGTGAGGGAAAGCTGATGGTAGGGCTCCTAGGAAAAGTTCCTTTGATCCAAAGACAGTGCTGCGTGACACAATGCTCTCTTCCCCCTCTGGATGTTTTATGGTTGATGGTGATGGCAGAGGGGAGAAATGGAAAAGCCAGGTCCCTTGTCACTGACTCAACCTGCCCCAGAGCCCTCCTCCCTCTGGTCTCTCTGTTCACCAAGATAACAAATGGCCTATTGTTCAAGCCACTTCAAAGTGTGGTTTCTGCTCCTTGAGGCTGAGGATTTCCTAATATAGATCCATCCTAAGAGACTTGGCAGTTTCTACAGCCTTTAATTATAATGCCTGTTTGTGACAGGCAATCTTCTGTATATATAATAAATTGTTTCGTTACTACCTCAAAGTTTGATTTTTCTAATGACATTTTAAGTCGCAAAGATGTTTCTAGATTTTCATTAAAATTCAACCATGCGTGATGCTCCCAGTGCAACCAGTCCATCAGAGGTCACAGAGGTGAAGAGACCATCTCTTTCAGGCAGCACGTGGACATTCCTATATCATCTCTCCTGGTGCCCAGTTTCCCTTGGCAATGACTACAAGATGCAACTCAATTTCAGAAATGTTAAAATGAGCGTCTTAAAACTGAGGAAGCATTTTTGTATGTAGGGAGATGCAAGTTTCTGCTGGTTTTGGGCGGAGGGGTGGTTTAGGGCTGAGAGTGAAAACAGGGATGAGTGGAGAAAGGACTCTGAACCGAGGACAGGATCGTCTGGTATCCAGTTTGGAGGCTTGACGTAAGGAGATGCCATCATGAGGATACTTCCTCATTCTCCAAAGATGTTCTACATACCACTCTGTCGTTTGTGCCTGCAAAATGAAAATATGAGCCATATTGATCCACACCCATATTTCTGTTAATGCAAAGACAGTTTTTCCTTTCTTTCTAAAATAACTTGACCAAAAACCTTCATGGAGTGACTATGCCAGGTCTTGGGCCAAGGGAGAGAGACTTGGAGATAAATAAAGCACACTCCATTCAAGGACCTCACAGTTTAGTAAGACAAGTTATAATATGTATAACATATTTGTATATATTATATATGTATGAACATGCTTGTATATCGTAGTGCTATAGTCTGAATGTTTGTGTCTCCCAAATTCATATGTTGAAATCCTAACCCCCAGCGTGATAGTATTTGAAGGCTCGCCTTTGGGAGGTGATTAGGTCATGAGGGCGGAGCTTTCATGATTGAGATCAGTGCCCTTATAAAAGAGACACCAGAGAGCTAGCTTGTCCCATCTGCCATGTGGGACACTGTAAAAAGATGGCCATCTAGGAAGTGGGGCCTCACCTGACACTGAATCTGCCATCACCAGGATCTTGGACTTCCCAGCCCTCAGAACTGTGAGAAATAAATATTTGTTTTTTATGAGCCACCCAGTCTGTGGCATTTTGTTATAGCAGCCTGAGTGGACTAAGCAACATGGAGGGTAATAGTTGGAAGGGTACCCTCCAAAACATGACTATGCTTACCTGTCTCCTTCTGTACTTTTGTGCTTTTTAAAAACTGGCATGCATTACTAGGGCAGAAGGGGGACCAGTGATAAGGCTTTGCAGTGGCCCGGGCAAGAGACAGTGGTGGCTTGGGCAGCAAGGTTGTGGAGGATGAAGAGACTTGCCTGGACTGGAAGCTACTGAGGAGGGGGAATCAGGGCTTGGTGGTAGATAGAACAGAGGAGTCAAAGATGGCTTGAGCGATAGGGTGGATGGTGGGGGGCATGCTGGAAGAGATGTTTGGGGGCAGTTTCCTGGTCAGCACCTGCCCAGGTAGATGCAGGATGAATACCTCTGCAGGATTTCCACTGGCTGTTCACCCACAAAATTGCCTCCCCAACCGGAGAGGTTGGCTAAGAACTCTACAGCAGCTCCCAACTCCCAGTGGCCTCTTCTAGGGGCAGTTGTCCCTCCAGGAACCCAAGGCTGGGTGGCAGTGTAATCCACCAGTGGGCCAGTGGATCCCATGCCCATTCCCACCTGGGGGCTTACAAGCCAGAACTGTGAGGCCAGACTTTGTCAGGGCCTGCCCTGGGGTGAGGCTGCCCCCAGCAGGGGGCAGCAGCCATCCTGCTCTCTGCCTAGAATGCTAGAAGGCCTGAATAGGAGCTCCCTCGTGGTTTCATCCATCCACCCACCGCTTGGTGTTAGTGCCCAGGGTGCAGCCAGGGCCTCGGCCACACCGCCGGGAGTGGGCCCCCATCCCAACCCCGAATATCTCAGGGGGGATGAATCCTTCTCAGCTTTAGAAGGGGTAGTGAAATCAGATAAAAAAAGGGGTGGAGGCTTTGCTGACCTTTGACGGGGCGTGGGGAGTTCTGCGATAGAAGGGTAGCAATGGCGGAAAGGAGGGAAGGTCTGCACTTGAATGAACAAACGAACTAACGAACCAAGAGTAGTTGATTTTTAGGCCACTTTAACCGGAGTCTCAGGGTTAGAAAATCCACCCTCCCCTCCCGGAACGAAAATGTCTCCTAGTTAGTTTTCATTCTCTCACTTGTTACAACTTGCATTATAAAACTTAGGCTCCCCGCTCCAGGAGCTGGTGGGCTTCTCCAGCTCGGAGAATCCGGGCGGCCTTGTTGGTCGCTGTGTCCCCAGAACTCGGCGAATAGTGCTCGCGACTCCGGCCGCTGCTGGGTGCCCCCACACGGTGCTGGGGGCCCAGGGATAAGGGGCCCCCGCACTTCAGCCCAGGCCACGCCCAATCCCCCGCCCCTCCTGTCCCCGCCCCGCCCCGTCTGCCGACAGACTCCGCGGCGCCGCGAAGCCCGCGCCGCCGCCCCCGAGCGCCCAGGTGGGCGGAGTTGCGGATGAGGGGCGGGATGTTTTGGTGGGCGGGGGTCCCGGTGACGGCATCCGCGCGCGCCGCGCTGGGGCTCAGAGCCTGACCGTCCCGCGGCGGGACTACGCTCACACCGGAGCAGGTGGGTGTGGGCCGGGGAGGGGTGGCGGTTGAGGACCGGGGTAGGAGGGAGGAGGCGCGCGCCTGGACCGGGTGGCACGGTGTCGGCACGCCTGGGGAGCCCTGACCGAGCACGGGGACCTCCCCCATCCTTGCTTACCAGTCTCCTGGAAGTCCGTGTCTGGGCGGGTGGGAGTCTCCCCTTTCCTAAGTCGGGGGCCTGAGGACGGCCTTATGGGCCTGGCCAGGAGGAGCTAGCGCCCACACTGCGAGAGTTGGATTCGCATTTGAAATCACTTCTCCGAACTTTCCGCGAGCTCCTATCCCTTGCCTGGCGCTTCTGACTCCGGTTCCCCTACCCCGGGCGCCCGACCGCCCCGGTGTTGTCCGGGCGCCTTCGGTGCGCGGAGCACTGTGCCCCGAGCCGGGGTGCGGAGAAGCCGGGACTGCCCGGGTCTGGAAAAGCTTTGGGTGAGGGGTGCGCGAAGGCGCCCACAGTATCGCGTGGCAGTTACCGCTGTGGCCCCAGTGCCGGGCACCCAGCAGGCGCTGATGATTGAATTAACGAAAGAACCGTTACAGCTGCTGAGAGACGTTAAGTAGTGAAAAATAAAGTGCTGTGACCTGGGGGTGGGGGTAGGGAGTGGTGAGGACTGCGATAAGAGAAAGGAGGAAGGAGATGGGGAAGTTTCCTTGGATGAAGATTATTCATCACTATTGGGCAGCTACTAAGCGTCGGACCTTGTGCTGGGTGCTGAAGATGCAGCACGAAGGGGACAGGAGGGTCCCTGCCTCCCAGCTCCCAGATTGGGACGTGGGGGGGGGGGACGACGGGTAATCTGTCTTTTGCAAGGGAAGGGAGTGGTCAGTGGCTGATGGGAGAACCACAGGGCATTGTGTGTGTGTGTGTGTGTGTGTGTATGTGTATGTGTATGTGTAGTGGTGGGGGCACAGAGCAGGGGCCCCTCCCTGGCTCCCTGAAGGTGGGACCAGCCTAAGCCTGGAGGGATGAGGAGTCTTGGGCAACACTGAGTGTGCTGCAGGAGGAGAAAGGTGAGGAAAGGTGGGGTATAGGGGGTAGGCAGGGCCCATTAAAAGTTTTTTTTTTCCTGTTAAGGTTTTGAATCTCAAGAGCATTAGGGAGTCTCTTCTGGGGGGAGTTTAAATAGGAGAGTGATGTGAGCGCATTTGCATTTCTGAAAAATGCCCGTGTTGCTGCATAGGAAGGTGCAGGGAGGCTGAGGCCAGTGAGGAGGCTGGTAAATGTCATTCCGTCGAGATGTCAGTGGGCAGGATCAGAGCT